TTCCCAAGTGCTTTCTATAAATACTATAACAAAATAATTGAATATGTAAATTGAGCTTAGCTTTTGGCATGAGTCAACGAACCGTATAAGCTGATAAATTATTGTAGTACTTTCGGCTTACGGTGACTGCATTTGGTTCTACTTTATTTTATTTATGTTGTTTTTTTCGCTCTTTTTAATTTGCAGGAATTTAAGTACCATTTGACAGTTGATTCAACGCACTGCTCTGCTTATATGAAGGTTTTTGATAGATTATGGCATGGGCATTGCTCATTTGATTGCTAGCAATGCAGTTCACCTCGTAGTCAGTCACTTTTCATATAGTTCACGACAATGATCGATCACACTGCACGTTCTCTTGGCAATTATAAGGCTGCCTGCATTGTGGGTCACTTTCCTCACCCCCAAGTGCAACATCCTTGGCATACTCTATCAATTATCGATTATTCAGTGCCATGACGCATCGCAAATGCAGTTGCACAGTTACTGTGAAGAGATATAGACAACTAGCAAATTACTTTACAAAATTGTAACATGCACAAATATAAGCATATATAGAGTCGCTCGACTGCCATAATCCGCAGAGCAAGGTACACAACCACACCGACACCAAAAACCACATCCACCCGCAGCTGGCCTCCGTTTGTCTCTCACCATCTTGCGCTCCCTCGGCCACTCTCACTGTTGGCCTGGTCGCTACCCCGTTGATGGCTCGTCGATGTGTTGGCCAACTGTGGCTAGCTGCTGGTTCACCTCGCACATCTTGGCCAGCCAGCCAGACAGTCAGCCAACGAGCGAGAGATACTTGGATGCTTAGACGACGTTAGGTGCTGCTGCTGCTGCGGCTGCTACAATGCCGTGTAAAACCAAATAAAATCAAAAAGCATACAAAATGCATTTTACAAAATAAAGAAAAATAACTTTGAACTGCAGTTGCAGTTGCATAGTCTCGACCACAGCATCTGTTTTGTCTAGTGCTTTGCTTCTGGCGCAGATTAAAGCCACAAAATGACTTAACTTATAAGCAGCTCAATGCCTGCCTGGCATTTGCAGTTGCAGTTGTAGTCGCTCTTGTTGTTGTTGTTGTTGTTGTTGCTGCTGATGCCGCAACAAGTTCGTGTAATCAATGCAATTTAGTCGCTAGCCATGTCAGGAATGTGGTGCATAGGTCGACTGCCAGTTAGCCACCATACGAAAACACGTCTCGTCCGACTCTCAGCCGCTGAGTGTGACGTGTGAATAGAGATTGCCAGAATAGAGGTTTTGCAATAGATCGAGCATAGATTGAAGATAGCACCGGCCAGGTAGCCAGTCGAGCTGGGGTGCCCACATTGTGGCGCATTCAGGCGTAAATTCATTGCTCAAAGGTGTTCTAATGGTTGCCCAAATGAGCCCCCGATGGCCCATTGTACAATCCGTGCATATACACCAAATACATCAGCTGCTCAGATATTACAATACCGATATTGCCAGAGTGCTATTAAGCCCAGCTACAGTTACTAACTAGCGGTGAGAGGCGCTAAACAAGTTACGTTTGCCAATAGTCAAGAATTTATAGACAGCCTAGAGAAACTTGTTTCACGCGTTTGATCAATTCAATAGAATCGAGGGGCAGACAAATTATATGTTATATTGTTTATATTTTGTTAATTTTAGTTTGCCAATGTTGCCATTCCATCATCTTCTTACCAGCTGAGCGGTTTTATATGCATGTACATATAAAGCAAAGCACATTTCAAATGTATTTTATATATGTATACAAGATGTGTTATTTAACAGGTATAAATAGCTTCTGTGTTAATATTTAAAATAAAAAGACTCACTTTTTAAATGGTTTTCACAGGCCTATTATTCAATAAATAGTCCGATTTCCTTTTGGATATCTCTTTATAGCTTTTTATAAACCCATTGAAAATGGGAAATCAGGGTAGAATAGTTTCTTGGAATTGACAATCAAATTTTTCATGAAGAAGCTTTACTATTTTTATGTATTTTTTTTTTTAATAGCAACATATTTATTTATTTGTTTTTTTTTATTTTTTTTTATTTCAATAAATTTTTTCAAGCGCGAAGTACAAATATTGATATGTATTTCTGTACGTATAACTTCGTCTTATTTATTTTCTGCTTAAGCTGATTAAGCTTAATGAATTCTTCTTAAATTTTATATTTTCACGATATATATTATATATTTATTCATTAATAAATAAATGGCTGTTACAAAAATATAGTGAATTTATATTTTGCAGCAAATTTGAATAATGTTTTATACATTAGTCAAGCAATCGAAAACACACAAAACATTTTATTTTTATTTGTATTTATTTATTAATTTTTTTTGAGTGTTCCAATAAATTGTGCCCACAAAACATATTATTTTTATTTGTATTTATCTATTTTTTTTTTTTTTTTGAGTGTTCCAATAAATTGTGCCCACTGTGTAGTTTTCTATACTTCCAGCCTAATTGCATTCTTCTCTTAATAGCATTATTTTATCCATTTTCTTAAAAAAAAAATACAAATATATTTTCAAAAAATTGCGAAATTAAGAAATTAAATATAATAAAATACCCATCATTATATGATCCACTTAAGCAGCAGCATTTAGTTTTGTAATTTCTGTAATTTTTACATCAGAGCACATTTCCCAGATGACTTAACTCGGCTGGGCCGCAAAGTTTTTCCCTGATCACGCGCATCATGCATTAGTTAAGAGCTGGCCTGTGTGGCAATTGCGGAACCCATTTGGCCGACTATTAACGGCTTTATAGTTCGAAATGATGCTGAGGTACACTGAAGTATACTAAAGCACACGTAATTGCACTCGATGGGCAACACACACACACACCCATTTGTGCCTCAAGGCGAGACCCTAAGGCAAGGTTCTTCAGAGCGCTTAGCCAGCGCTGTCGATTGCTGCTATGACCTTTTGCATTTTGGCTAACAACAGCTGTTTTCCCGCCACACAACTGACCTTAGCCGATCTTCAAGCTAAACAAAAAATTAAAAAGCTGCAAGCGATGCTATTAATAACTGCCCAACGAATTTTGCACAGTGCATTAAGAGGGCAACCAGAGCGAGAGAGGGGGCGGAGGCGCAGAGCGCCAAAGATTGGCTGAGTGGAACAGACTGAGCCAAGATTCGAGAGCTCTGCTGCAGCTCATTAAGCGACCAACGAACGGGCAACAGCTGTTGATGTGGCTGTTCACTCTGTGCTGTTCGCTGCTCGCTGTTCAATGTTCGCTTTTCGTTGTTGTTCGTTGTGCCCCAACTGAAGTTGCAGCTAGTTGGGAACACTTGAGCCGCACTTTGCAACGCCAGGGCAGACAGGCAACCAGCCAAGACGCGACTCTAAATGAAAACAAAAGTGAAAAGGTCAGCACCCAGGCAGGGAGTCGCAGCTCAAGAAGTGCCAGACGCAAAGCGAAGCTCTGCAGCTGAAGCGCCAACACTCAGCCAAGTGTAGCCGCTGAGCTCAAACGATTTGGCAGCTATACACTTGCCGAAAGTAGCTTAGCTTTCTTAGCCATCTCAAATATAAATCGTTCTTCGCGTATGTAAATTTATGCCATAAAACTGAAGAAGCTAAATAAGAATAAATAAATAATTGCAAAATTTATAATAATAAAATCTAAATAGAACCTCAAGAAATCGATACTCATATTTTCGATAAATATATATCATATTTTATATGTATTTTATAATGTTAGCACAAAATTTCATTCATTTATTTAATATATTAACACCTCGTAACAATATTGTCTTCTCGTAAACTTTATACGGGTATATTTCTGACCACAACAAAAAAGTTAAATATAAGAATCACAAAAAAAAAAAAATAATAACAATTCACAATCACAAATTTATTTTATATTATTCTCTTACGTTTATCTATGTCGAAAAGAAATAAATGAGAACTTTTAGTTATATATATTCAAATAAATGCTGCATATATTCCACCAACAAATGAATGAATGAATAATGAATGCTTTAACAAGTATTTTAAATTTTCATAATTCAAATCTCCGATTTTTTTTTTTTTTAAATGAATAAAATTCGTATTGAAATTGTGAATATACTATTTTAAATATTATTAAATCCTTATCCAACGAATAAAATTATAACCTATTATTAATAGGGACCCAGATTTTTCTGAGCGTATCATAAAATATGTTTTATTTATATACACATATAATTTTTGTCAGTTTCTTCATTACAAAAACTTCGTTTTTCTCAGAATTCTATTTTGATAGAATAGCAACAAAACAACTGGCAAGATAGTTTAAAATGTGCTAAGAAGTATAAGAGTTCTGCTTTTGCCTTTCTCCCCAACTACTGCTTAATGTATAAACATAATGGATTCCTGAGAATTCTTAGCTCATCTTTAATTGATGGTATAACAACTGCTGAGCTGAACTTCTGATTATTTTTAGTATTTAATGCAGCACTTAATAATCTGAGCTCAACACAACTCATAGCATTACATTATGGTATATATAGTATTATTATTATTTCACCCATTTCATTAAAAAGGAAATAAAAACTGTTATTTAAATTCCCCCATTGGCTATTGTCTACATACAGTTTTCATTTGAATAACTTTTATGGCCAAGCTCAGACTTCTTAAATAACATTTCATTTTACTTTCCTTTAATGTTTCTTTGGGATGAATTATATACCCCATTTTCTAATGTTAGTGTATAGGATTTTTTTATGGGCCTTCATTTTTTGTTGCTGCCCGTTATTGCCCGTTTCTGTTAGCAGTTTTCCGGCCAACAAGTTGCGCATGCGCCAGTGTTGGCCCAAAGGCAGGCAAAGCATTTGCAGCCAGTTGCTGGCTCTGATGCTGGCTCTCGACTTGACTTGGCTCGGGGTTGCCCAATGTGCGAGTACTTGTTCAAGCCATTCGCATTTTAATCTTTCTAAACTATTGGGCAATAGTTTTGGTTCATCGGGGGGCCCAGGCCAATATGCGATTATCTGCAGCAGTTGCAAATGGGAAACTGAAATACAAAAATTGCAGCAATTTGAAGAAGCTAAACGTGGCTTTGCGGTCATTAATAGTGACATTTGTTGTTGTTGTTGTTGTTGCTGCTTTGTTGCTTTAATTGACTGGGAAATTGGGCAAATGAAAAACGCGCGTAATTGAAGAAGCAGCCTCGAGTCGACAGCGACTCGAGTGACAACTTTCAAATGGAAATGAATTATTGGCAGCACTTTCATTTTATGGTACATTTGCAATTCGATTTCCTTTCCCAAAAACCATTCACAGAAGCCGCACCAATCGCATCCGAATCAAACAACATCAGCATCAGCATCCAGCATCAACTCTGTGAGCCCTGCTTCAATTGGATTTGGATCCCTTTGGCTGCCGATTCCTTGTGATCGCACTGACATTAGCAAATGGCACAAGAGCCGCGGCGACGTCTGCTCTGAGAGACGATTGCAATTACCCCAGCCACAGAGTCGGCAATTGCTTATGTAATTTTCGCTGACTGCAATTGACATTTGGAGCTGAACAAAAGGTGAATCGCGCCAGCTGCCACAGCATGGACGGACACAAGCCACTTCAAGATGCCGCGGGCAGGGCTAATGAGGCAGCAGCAGCAGCATCAGCAGCAGGCAGTGTCAATGGGTCGGCAGCTCTGCGTCGCCAGCCGACGAAATATCCACATGGTCTGAACATAACGGTGCAGACAGTCGATGACGAGAAGGCCGATGACTACTCGCGAGCCTCCACACTAAGAAGCAGCAGCAGCAGCAGCGACATCGAATCCTGCTGGACCGACACCCAGAAATATCGCATTGGCATGGTTGGCAGTCCCGAGACGCTGGCCGAGCTCCAGGTGCGTCGCTACAAATACCCGTTGACGGCGAACTATTATCTGAACCGCGCTGGACCCGGCGCTGGCCAGCAGCAGGAGAAGCCCACGCCACTGATGCTGCTGGGCTATGCGAAGCGCGCCTGCCGCTGGAAATATCTGCGCTGGCCCATCATCTTCGTGGCCAGCGTGCTGCTCTTCTTCGGACTGATCACCTACTGCCTCTGGCTGCACGACGTCAGCGTGGCTCGCGCACGTTTCCTACAGCGTCGCTACGAGATGGCCTCGTCCAGCTCAACCACCGAATGGGACGGCCTGCTCGACGACGAAAACATGGAGGTGCTAACAACGACTACGGAGAATGTAAATACCATGCAAGAGTCGACGCGGCTCAGAGCGGTCGAAATACACAGGGAACACACGACGGCCATGTCTGTGACGGAGGCGGACACTCCGGACGGCGATGATGACTATGACGATGTGCTGCTACCGGCTGACAGTATTCGCTTCACCTCCGGCCACCAGAATAGCTTCGGAGTGCCCATCGAACAGGATAAGCGAATGCTGCAACTGCTGAAAGAGGTAAGCAGGATTTTATATTTAGGCTAGGTTGAACTTAGAATTCAATTATCATATAATAGCTGGGAGGTTGGAAACTCCTTCTTTATAGCGTCTTTCACAAGCTAGACTCTATATTTTATTCAGCCAAAATATATATTTCCACATTAAAAAGTACAATGAACTCTTACTATAGCGAGCTTTGCTTGAAAGTGGCGCCAACTTCTCTATATAGAAAAGAAAATATCGAAATTGAGAGACAAACTCGATTTTATGGGCCATAAACCTAAATTCTAGTAGCTTTGTTAAAATGGGCAATGCTTTAGCCCCCTTAATCAATTCCTAAGAAACAAATGACTTAACAAAAGACAGAATACATGACGATAAAAGGCTACCTCTCTATGAGCTTCTCATTACAATACAAACAAATAAGAAAGCAAATTATTTTTATCGACTTTGTTATTTGTTTAGAGTAAAATGCATTGGACATTATAAATAACTGCATCTGTCAGTGCAATAAAAGAGAAAATAAACGAAATCCCCTTTGTCTCATTTTTTGTTTATTTACTTAAAATGAAATTAGCTAGATGATAGCATGCCTAAATAGAAATTATATTATTTAGTCTGAATAAGAGCTGATAATTATTTCGATAATATTACCAATTCGATTGAAGTATTTTATTGGGAGAAAGACCTCCATTCACCTCAGCTTACATCCAACCAGTTTGTCAGGGATATTATTAAGTATATAAGGTAGAAAGTGTTCATGGAAAACTAAAAAATAAATATAAGGAAGTCTTAAATGTAATATATATATATATGCATTTAATTAAAATAAAAAATATACAAAGTAAAAGAAAAAAAAAAACAAAGAAAAATATATAGTAAGGAATTAGTAATAAAGGAAGAGAAATAAAAAGAAAATAGTGGATTGGGAGATCACTACACAAAGGATATTCATTTGCTCACATCAGAGCACTTTGATTGATTTCCTCGAGAGAATCTATTCCCATTGACTATTTGCTCTACTGCCTCTCATCCACTTTCACTCTGTCTTCCCTCCATCCCCTGCTGTAGCTACTGCCGAAGCCGCACTCCACGCCCCCCGCCAATGTGCATCTGTTGACACGCGTGTCGCCAACGCTGCCGCCGCCCTCGGGGGTCAGCGGCAGGCCGACTGAGGCGATGACCACGACACCGTCGAGCAGCATCGGCAGCGGCTGCATTTCGACGGCGCTGCCCATGTGTCGCGGCATCCTGGACTATGATCTGACCTACAACAATGGCAACGGAGCACCCCGCGACGCTGCCTCCATGGCGGCCTACGAGCAGCTCATCGGCGCCAACTGTTCGGCCCGAGCCGTTGAGTTTGTGTGCGCTGCTCTGGAGCCGGAGTGCCGACCCCTGCACATTGGCCAGCTGCCGCCGTGCCGGCGCATTTGCAAAGGTAACTCAGAGGGAGTCCGGTTGGTGTGGGCTCATTAATCAGCTGCGCTGTTTCGCTTTAGCCATACTGGAGGCCTGTTCCATTGCGATAGCCAACTCGGACCAGCTGAGCGAGCTGTTCGACTGCAGCCAGTACCCGGATGCGCACGAGACGCACAAGTGCGAGGACCCAACGCGCAGGCGCGACTTTTGCTACAGCAACGAGTTCCAGTGCCACGACGGCAGCTGCATTCCCCAGCAGTGGCAGTGCGACAATATCAAGGACTGCGCGGGCGGCGAGGACGAGGACGAGCAGTGCCTGGTGTGCGAGCACGAGGAGTTCCGATGTCGTTCCAATGAGAAGTGCATAGCTGAGAGCCTGCGCTGCGATCTCAATTACGATTGCTTCGATGCCAGCGACGAGGAGGACTGCGACGATTACGGCTCCGGCGATGCGGCGCCCTTCGATGAGGCTGAGCTGAATGCCTTTCCGCGCATTTTCTCCTACGCCAGTTTCCTCTCGCCCAACGAGACGAACGAAAAGCTCTACACCTACATCACGGCCACCACGGACGAGGAGGCGGGCACCGAGACCAAGTTCCAGGTGCATCAGGTGGCAGCGCCTGCCCAGGCAGCGAATGCCAGCGCCGAGGAAGCAGCGGGCGGACCTAAGGGCTTTGGTAAGCTTTACATATTCTGAGATCTCTCCACGCACATACACATTCAGCTCATACCATGAAAACTTTAGTGAACTTTCGGGACAGCAAGGAGATCATGATGACCAGCGACTCGGAGAACAAGTTCAAGTATTCCGCGCAGCGCTCCAATCGCACCAGCAACAAATTCAGCATCTCCACGGCCACAGCGCCGACGCGCAGTGCCAGCGCGATTCCGCCGTCGACGCTGGCGCAGCAGCGCGAACGGGAGCGCATCACGATCAGCAGCAGTAGCAGCAGCAGCAGCAGCAGCAGCACGAGCAGCAGCACGTCAACTACAGTGGCCACGCCCACCAGAGTGCCTGGACGCTGTTTGCCGCACGAGCTGCGCTGTGTGAGTGGCAAGTGCATAACTGTAAATCAACTGTGCGATAAGGTAGGTCAGCCAAGGGAAACCTAAGAGTCAGCACCAACTATCTCTCTCTCTCTCTCGCGTCTTACAGCAAATAGACTGTCCCGATGCGGCTGATGAGATCATGTGCGTCTATCGTGAAAGGCCCAGTGTGCGTGCTGTATCCACCACAACAACAACAACAACAGCAAAGACAACACCCACAACAATAACAACAACAGCAGCATTAACAACAACAACAACGCCAGCAATGACCACAACGAGACGTTCGGTGCGAACCAGTCCCAATCGAAGTCGAAAGCCCAAGTCCTAAGCAGTTGAACTATAGCCGCTGTACATTAAATGCAATTTGATACATCTATTATTATTATTTATATATTACTCTCTTATCTTTCAAACGCGCGCTCGCTATATGTATGATATATATAATAATTGATAATTGGCTAGATCTTAAGTTGTTGTAGATTGTTTGACTATTTTTATGTATCAACTGCCAGGTGAATGTCTGGTATGTTTGTCTCTTTTAGCAATAATAAAGTTAAGATTGTAGATAATCCAATAATCAAAGTGTGGTCAGTGAAAAGGGCAGCACGCTTGATTGTCTAATGCATTATCTTTTGGCTATGCAAACGACAACCTTGCCAGGAGCATAAAACACTTCCATTGTCTGTGCATTGAGACCTCGAGGGTCTTTCTCTCCCTTTATGCTCACGGTACAATACCTTTTTAAACCCAAAAGACAATTAAACTCGGGACATTATTACAATTTCACGGCGACCTTCAAGCTGAGGTGCTTGTCCATGTCAGCCCACGCATAGAAAGTCATTTGGAAACATTCAATTAACGTGCCCATTGTCATCGATAGAGGAACGCGAGCGAAGGCGGGGGCGGGGTGGGGCCGACGGCTAGTCCATTCATTATCTATGTGCGAAGTGCATTAAAGACGCAGACAGACAGCTGACATTCACCCACTCAAGCAATGCGACTGGATATGTAACATAATATCGCCCCACTCAGGCTGCGGACTGCAACACGGAAGACAACGTGACAACGGGCGAACATCGAGGCTTTCGGGCCAGAAAGCACTTGTCAAATGAGTGCGGCTGGCACATCTACAAGCCACAAGCAGATTAAATTCCAGTTCAGACATAAATGGCGAAACCTATGGCAATTTGGAGATGGAACTCGAATTTTCGAGCTGAGTGGGAGAGTGATATACGAAGGAGCTGAAGTTGCGGTATTTTTATAACTTCTGCTAGAAATGAGTAGATGGATATTGTATAGTATATAAAGATGTTTTTATTTCTACTATTAAAAAAAAAATAGAAATTTCAATATATATAAAGAAGCTTATATAAATATAAGTTTAAATATTTTTAAAAATAAAATAAAATAGTTGAAATTTTTCTTAAGGAAACATAAATAAAACACATATATCAAAATTTCTACACTATAAATAAATATTGGCACCTGGGTAGAAAAATTTAAAATAAATTTCTATATTTTCATATAAATTTCATTTTCCTTTTCATTTTGCTAAAATATTTATATAAATTTCTACTATAAATTCCAATAAATAAATTTTTTACTCTTCTGCTCATCAATGTTGGCGGCAAGCTTACTAAAAATGTCTATGGAATGACTAAATGATAAATTTGAATAACTTGAAGTGATCAGTGTCAATTATTGTAAAAAGCGGAAACCGGAATATTAAATAAAACAAGCTGCTTTTATTTTTCAAAAATCATCTAACAAACATGTCAAATTAACCTCGAAAATTACTTAAAATAATCTTCATTTTTAGGTTTATGGGTAGCATAAAAATCTTAATAGTTCTCCGATATTTTATGGCAAAAAATCTATTGAAAAGAAGCTAAACACAATCATGCTCGCGTAGATATTGAGCTCACAGCTTAACAGCTATACTTTTTATTATCATATAAATTATTTATTATCTTTATAAATTTTGACTGCTATTGAAGTGATAAAGTGCACTAGGTAATTTTGTATACCCTTATTTTAAGGTACATGTTCTACTGTTGAAATTAACTCCAGACTATTCCAATTGTCTTTATGCACACAAGACATAGAATCGAATAAAGACTTAAGAACAATTTCCTCAACTTTCAGTTCTCTAAATTCGTCAAACATCTCTCCATGCGAATATACTCTTTTGACTTCTCAGGCGAGTATTAACACGACACGCGCTCATCTCTAACAAGCAGGCAGTCTGAAGCTGTGTGTTGGTCGTGCTTTGGTGTTGATGCGGCTGAGCACTCAGTTAATGTGACATGCGACTCAGAAGGGAACACAAATCTGCAATCGCTGGCGATTGTCTGTTTGGAAAGATGCAGAGCAGTTTTTTTTTCCTCTTTTTTGGCACAGGCGCAGCCCCTGGTAACCCGAGCCGTTGCCCAGAACCGGAGCTCGCACCCGACTGCTACCACAGAAGTTAAATGCATTTTGATTTCACCCCCGAGCAAAAAGAATAGAGGCAAAAAATCAGATGAAACGACCTTTTTTGTGTATATGTGTGTGTGAGTATTTGTGTAAGTGTGGGTGTTGGGTTGCCCTCTGATTGATTGCCATCAAAAAACGAGAAAAAAAAATCCGCTTTTGGCATAACGGCAAATGCGATTTGATTGCCGTTGTGTGTTTGGGCCCTGCACAATGACAATAACTATTAATATATGTTTTCGACAATCCCTAATCCGGCGAAACAACTTTTATGCGCAATTGCATCATCGGTTTCAGCCCCGACTTCCAGAAAATTGCAACGCGAAATGGGATAAAAAATGAAAGTTTTTCCTTTTTTTTTTTTGCCGTTTTTGTAATTTTGGGTTATCGTTCCGGCATTTGATACGTCTGTTTCGCCGTCCATTTTTGACAGCTGTCGCTCGTCTGCATTTTCACCTTAATTAAGTGATATTAATCGTTCTGAGAGAGCAAAAAAAAATCCCGAATTTGAAACCTAACAACAATTTTTCAACACTCTCTGCAAAAAGGGAGCGCTAACATATTAGCGGGTGGGCGGTGGGCGGTGGGCGTTGACCTTAATCCGTTAGCTGACAGCCAGCCAGCAGCCGGCCGAAAAAAAAGGAAAAGCAACAGTCATTTTGTGGGCATTAAAAGCTTTTCACAATTTCACTTGCCTTGGCGTAGGCCCCGTTTGAGTGTTTGGGCCACACGCATAATTTTCATTTAGTGCCCCTTTTGTGTACCCTTTTATTATGAGTATTTTCCCTTCTCTCTCTCTCTATCTCTCTCTCTCTCTCTCTCTCTCTCGGCTGCTGCTGCTGTGTGACCCTTACCAATATTGTTAATGGAGCCGATTGTAATGGCCCAACGGGGTATGTGGCTTTCGGGTCAGCGAGTGGGCGGCCATATGGGCGCATATGAAGGTGTTTTTATCTAAGCCTAGCCAGGCCATAAATTTAATAGCTAGTGCACTGTCATAGAGTGCTCTGCGCTTTGACCCAATAACCTTTGCCCTTGCTCAAACAACGAAAATTTAAAATTCACTTCAATTAGAACTTTTAGAGGAGAGTCCTGGGGTTTAAAATCTTAAACAATACGAGCGTGTCTATTTTTTATCGAGTTACTAGATCTAGATCTAAATCGCAAGTTAACCGACTCAAACAAACAACTGCGCCAGAATTTCAAATTCCTTTCTGTCAATTTGCTGAAAGACATCAAATATATAAATTTTCAAGTAATTCCAGCTCTTAACCTTGGCCACAAGCCCTTGACTGAATTGACTGAAAAGGCCTGTCTGAGCCACTCGCTTAACCTTCAAGCTGAGTCCTAGACAACATCTTTGCTCCTTAAGCAGTGAAGTAATAAAGCATTAGGCCTAAGCTCTCTTGCTTTGTTTCTCGGCTTGGCTCGTAATTTTAGTGCCCCATTTGTCTGGCTGAGCTCTTAACATTAAGTACAGAGCTCTTGAGCGCTAGGCGTCCCGCAGGAACCGAAACCCGTTCTTTCAGCTCACTCGAACCCTTGACTGACCTCTCACACATATGCGTATCCTTGAAGACGACACGACCCTTGAGTCGTGGCACCAAAGCAGTCCTTCAGTCATCTCCCGTCGTGTGCTCTAAATACACACCCATAATTACGAGCTCATCATATCGTGCGCATAGTTACGCTTGATCGTTTTTAAATTGCGAGCAACGCACTTCCGCCCAGAAACAGAAGCCGACCCGAGGCGGATTCAATGGGCGATGGCCCTGTGTGTCGGCACTTCAAGAAGTTGACATAATTATGCCAGCAGCAAGACACCATCGGGACGTTTATCGTTGATTGTTCGGGGTGCAGCCCGAAGGAGTCAGGGCAACCCTTAAGCCTATCGGATGCAGGCGGCTGAATCTATCTACAATATATCTTGCCACTTGGGGTGCCAATAGTAATGAACATTCCATTGCGACAGTTGTTACTTTTGTTGCTCAAGGAAATGGGCGGGACACGGCCCGATGACAGAGATTTGCATAGCTGTCAAATGGAACTACTCAAATTCCGCTCGTCGTACAGTTGGGTCATCTGAGTGAGCAAAGCGCAATCTGGAAAATCATTAGGTGCATTTTCCAATTGATTTCACGCGCTAACCACAAGAAACAGCAACAACAAAAAGGGAAAATACACAAAATAAAATAAAATAATACCAAAATGAAAACAAAGCAACTCTCAACCAAAATCAATAAGCAGCAAAAGGCAACAAAACAAACCGAGAGAAGAGGCAACCGCAGCACGAGCACGAGGCACATTGAGATTGCAAAGAGCCAGCCATGTAATGCCCATGCATACCAAGCCCGGACCCTAGCCGACCAGACCCCATCAGAGCAGACAATTGTTTCATTGTGACCAGCTTGTCACGTAGCTGCAGGGAAAGGCAGTTGCCTGGCTGTCTGGCTGCGTTTGTCGTCCGTTGTCTTCTGTCTCCTGTCTCTTGTCTCCTGTCGCATTGTTGCAAAATTGATGAGGCGCAATGGATTTGGTATGCCCGTGCCTCAGCTGAGACCCGTCGATGATGCCATCCCAGTTATGCCAGCCATCCAGTCAGTCAGCCATCCCTAGCCGATTGCCAAACGGCAGCGCCGACAGCAGCGACAGCGGCAGCGGCAGTGGCAGCAACAGCTACTGAAAGAATTAAGCAAAAATTATAGAGAATTGTGACGAATAATGTATGCCCTTATAAGGCGGCTTTAAGAAGGGAAGTGTGATATGAAATTTCGAAAAAAAATTGATATTTTACATGTGGCAGCTAGAAAGAGAGAGAGTGAGAGACCTGATAGTACTGAAAAATGAGAAAAAAGAGGCACAACACTATGACCTCTCTCTCCCTCCCCATCAATGTCTCTTTCTATCTCAATATTTCTCACTCTCACTTTCAATCTCACTCTCTCCCATTCTGTCTCTCATTGTCTATCTCTTTCCTCTCACCTCTCTCTATCGTAT